ACCACCAATACCTAAAATTGCTAAAAGAAAATCCATGCCTATTTTATTATATACTCACGTATGATGACATGATTATATATAAACCCACAGAGATATGCACATATCCATGTATGTGAAATCACTTCCAATCACACTGATGATTTAAGCCAAAACTTCTTTAAGGTTAAATAGTATTACACGTCTGTTTCAAATGGGTACCCTACACACATCTTCACTTACTGTGATTAAGTGTAAACGAACTTTCCAGGCTACTAAGGTGCTGAAGCCGGGCCTGCATCACTCCTGATCTATTTCGGAGAGCTGGCATGGTTTGCGATTTTCGGTCTACTCCAAAGTGTTTTGACAGCCAGGCATCATGCACCCTAAAATAAATTTTAAAGTTAGGAACTGGAATACTCTAATAATATATGTCAATGTTAGATTTTTTTAAACTAATAAATGATTAAGTTTCCACATCAACACTATACTATGCTCAATATTCTACTAATTATTACTTAGCTTAAATGAGGCGCTACCAGAAATTGTATAAAGTTTTCATGTAGATTTAAAATAGCTTATACTATAAGAATACAATTAAGGAATTTAGGAAGAGTTTCTTACTTTCCTTTTTCTCCTCAAAAACCTCAGAGTAAAGAAGCCAATACTCCAATAAGATTCCATCTTTTTTCTGGGGAGGTGAGGAAGAGCAGGAGTCAGAGAAAACAGTGAGAGGGGTGCTCACAGTCGAAATGAGGTGGAGAGAATTCCTGGAGTTAGATGTTCAGGAATGAGTGCCAATCTAACCTGTTTCTGGACTTGCGTTAAACTTGGATCAGAAATTTTTACTCTGTAAACATGTCTATCTGGTGATATAATGGTTAAGATCCTGAGCTTTCACTGCCACGGGTTCGTTTCCCAGTCAGGGAACCACACCACCATCTGTCAGTTGTCATACTGTGGCAGCTGCATGTTGCTGGGATGCTGAAAGCTATGCCACTGGTATTTCAAATTCCAGCAGGGTCACCCATGGCAGACAGGTTTCAGTGGAGCTTCCAAACTAAGACTAGGAAGAACGACCTGGCCACCCACTTCTGAAAAACTGGCCATGAAAACCCTATGAATAGTAGCGGAGCGTTGTCTGATAGAGCGCCAGAAGGTGAGAGGATGGTGTCTAAAGACCATGGAGGGTTCCTCTCTGCTGTACACAGGGTTGCTAGGGGTTGGAATCGACTCCAGGACATTAACAAGAACAAAAAAATCCTATTGCTAGGATCTGCAAGTTTTCTTTTCATTTTAAGGTTCCATTTGAAATAATTACAATCGAGTCATACAGGAACTAAGGAAGAAAAAGAGTTTGTCTATCCTCTATAGTAAACACAGTAGGAGAGTTAGAAGAACCTTAGAGGTTAAGGCTCATGGCGGTAGTTACCACGCAAGCTCTAAGTCATGCGGGGAAACAGTAGAAATCGTCACCTGAATTACTATTATTAGCATGTTCCAGAGACTCAGCAATAAACCCCACCCAAACTGTGCCTTCAGTTTTTGGAAGTGCCATGGAATTTAACTTTAAAAAAAAGAACTCTGAGGTCCTTTAACGACTAACTCTACCCCTAAAATACATCTTATTGAAATAAGCAAGTAATCCTTTCCGTAGGGTCCCTTAAACATTTTAAGTATTTATTTCACTAAGACTTACAGCAAAAAGAAATAGATGATATATACTGCATGCCCCAATCGCTGTTAGGGATTTCTATTTACCTTAGTAACTGAGGCGAGTATTGATAGGTTGTAGAGAAAAGTATAGACCTTATGGCTGTCCTCACTTTATGATTTCCTGTCTTCCCCTGGATCTAGCCCTTTCTCACAGCCTTCAGAAAAGACAAGCATCTGCTCTAGGATTAGAACAGAAACTCTGCATATCAGTCTAACTATTACCCTTTGGAAAACTTAAAAATATATCAGTTCACATTAGTTTAATTTAAACTTTGAGTTAGGACATGTTAAATAAATCATGGGTATCTTAACGTTAACTCAAAATTAATCATCTAGCTTTTACACAGCATGATTAAGACTGCCCTCTGTTGGAAGAGAAGGGGAAAAGTGGAAATTGCAGTGCTATGCGAGTTACCTTGCTATGTTTCTTTTCCCCATATATCTAAAGTGAAACAGACATACTCTAGAAAGAAAAATAATAGCATGTTAGTAAGATATTACCATACTCTGCATTTCAACAAGTGATATTTGAAAACTCATGTTACAAAGAATGATCTATTTAAGTCATAATACAACAACGTATGCTTTGGTATACAGAAATAAATACACACATAACTACCTGTGGGCTTGCCATATTTTATCTTTCTACATTTATTTGCTACAATTACAGTAGCACCAAAAAGCCCCATGTTTTCATATACAATTCTAATGCCATTTAAAAAAATAAACCTGTCAATGCAAATCATCCTTTGTGTTCTATAACGTATCATAGCAAAGATCTCCAGCTTAGTCATTAATACCTAAAAAAGGTTCTTAAGCCCTAAAAATTGGGGCAATTGCTATATTTTTTTTAAGATTTTTATTTTTCCTTTTTCTCTCCAAAGCCCCCTGGTACACAGTTGTATATTTTTAGTTGTGGCATGTGGGACGCCGCCTCAGCGTGGCCTAATGAGCGGTGCCATGTCCGTGCCCAGGATCTGAACCGGTGAAACGCTGGGCTGCTGAAGTGGAGTGCACGAACTTAACCACTTGGCCATGGGGCCGGCCCAATTGCTATATTTTTTAATAATAGCATTAAAATACTTCCTATTATTGAAAATCTCAAAAATCCATACAAAAGTAGAGAGCATAGCATACTAAACTCCCACATACCCACCACCCACCAGCTTCAATAATTATCAACTCCTGGTCATTCTTGTTTAACCTCTACCCCAAACAGGTCCCCTGCTCTCCCCTCCACACTCTCGACCTCCTGTATTTTTTGAAGCAAACACCCAACATCATATATTTTATTAGTAAATATTTCATTACAATTAGTTTATTTTTTTTTAATCTTAATTGTTGTTTTGTTTGCTGACTTTTCCTGGAAAATTTTCAAAGACTTTAATAAAATATCTGTTTTGGTAGATATGCACATACAATATCATGTATGTGTGTTATTTACTTAAAAATTTCTTACATTTCATTCAAATTTTTCTTTTAGCTTTGCACTAATGATGTAAAAATAGCTTAGCATATAATACAGGACAACTTCCCACCTCCACCTACAAAAAAGACTAGCTTTTTCCCCAAATGCCTTGGAATAGAAAGAGAGATACACATATATGCTTTTCTGAAGTAGGTAGAATTACTCAGCTCTACAGAAGACCACAAACTATAAATTCCAATCATTTGAGCTGCTCCCTTAAGCCGGCATCTACTCTAAATGAACGATTTAGGACGGCTGATGCCATGCTTAGTTGCCTAGATCACAGAGAGACTCCCACTGGACTGTAAAGACTATTAGCTAGAGCTTTCTATAACATCAAAAGCATTCCATCTCCGTGGTTTTCCACTATGTGTGAAGAACCTGTATGCCAGCCTCTATAATATCAAAATAGCTTAACATTTCCTACATTAGCAAATACGCTGTTGAAAACCGAAAAAAAGGCAATATTTTATTATGTATAAAAGTTAACTTCCCCAAATAAGGGAAAACCTTATCAAAATAAGTTAATATAACTTACTCTAGAAGTACAAGAATGTTTATGAGCTCCTGAGGAGATACTTTATTCCAGTAAGTTAGAAGAGTATCTGAAAATGGAATAAATAAAATGTTAGAGCCTGAATAAAGCAAATAGCATAGTGAATCTCAAAGCACCAATAACAGCTTCAACCGCCATCAATGGCCAACTCTGTTTCATCTAATCTTCCTCTCCGAGCTCACTGTCCAATATACACATTGCATTCTCTTAATTCTAAATATATCATTTAATCTGTAAATATTTCAACTGCAACAATTATTTTTATTTACTTTGTAAACATTCTTTTGGATGGCTTATCCTAATCTTCATACTATCCCTGAAGACAGAAGAAGGAAAGTAGACCCGGGGTTTTCAATCAACTTCCCAAAATTTTATGCAAGATGTGGTGTTTATGTGCATTTTTCTGAAGGGAGGGTCAACTAACTACCTTTGCCTCCTACTCAAAGGGCTCTGTGAACCAGAAAGTTTGAGAACTTGAAACTTTAGAAAAAGAGACAGGTAACTTTTTTTTTCCTCTTTGCCCTTGGAATATAAACTCTGAAGTCCTGGCAATATGTAAACACACACACACTGTTAAAAACAAAATAACAGGCCTAAAAGGAAGTCATTTATGCTAAGCCCCATGTCAACAAACCAAGACTTAACTTATAGTTGCAGCTCTCCCAGAAATGGAACCTTAAACTGGTCAATCAGGAATCATCTGATCAGTACTAGTTAGGTGATCTGCCTGAGAGACTCCTGCCATCCTCCAAAGGAAAGTAACTTTGCAATAACCAACTTGTTTTTCTGCCTAGTATAACTTCCTTGCTTCTACTTCCTTCTGCCCATACGAGTCTTTCATTTTGTATAGCTCCTCAGGGCTCCTTTCTACCTGCTAGATTGGATGCTGCCCCCCCCCCTTTTTTTTTCAAGATTTTTCCTTTTTCTCCCCAAAGTCCCCTGGTACATAGATGTCTATTTTAGTTGTAGGTGCTTCTAGTTGTGGCATGTGGGATGCCGCCTCAGCATGGCTTAATGAGTGGCGCCATAGCCATGCCCAGGACCTGAACTCGCAAAACCCTGGGTCGCTGAAGTGGAGTGTGGGAACGTAAACACTTGGCCATGGGCGGCTGCAGAAATCTAAAGGGAAGAATGCCAGTAGCCAGGCTTTTTCTTTTTTCTTTTTTTGTTAGGAAGATTAGCCCTGAGCTAACATCCGTGCCCATCTTCCTCCACTATATATGTGGGACGCCTGCCAGAGCATGGCTTGACAGGCGGTGCGTAGGTCCACACCCAGCATCGGAACTGTCGAGCCCCAGGCTGCAGAGGCAGGACCTGCGCACTTAACTGCTGCACCAGCAGGCCCAGCGGATGCTGCCCAATTTAAATAGATTTTTGCTCAAATAAACTCTTAAAACTTTTAATATGCCTCACTTTAACAGTATACACACACACACATATATGGAACTATTTCCAATATAAAAGTCTCTAAACCTATCACATATACTTCTCTCTTGACTTCTTTCTTTACTTCCAACACACCCAGTTACCGAGGTTTAAAACAAAAAATTGCTACCACTACACATTCCTTTTTTACCCTACTCAGATATAGCTAACGCTGTCAGCAGATCCTCTTCTAAATGTAAAATGTTGCAGGTATCACAAAAGTAGGCAAATGACCGAATCACCAACCGAGCTGGAGCCTCCGGAAAACACAGACGGAAGACTAGGTAATGCTGGCTATATGGAGGGGTGAGCGCGAGGGAGGAGTGGGGGGCGTTTGACTTTACTTCCAATTGTCTTCAAGACCATGAGTATTGATAGTTTTCAATGATTATAAAATACTGATCATGAAGAATAAAAATGCTACAATCGAGTCAAATTAGATTCGTTTAGAAAATATAAAGCAAGTGGTGACTATCAGTCGTCCGTCCTTCACCCCCTCTTGGGGTGCCTTCCAGTTCTGCGAGCCAGGGCTTACCCAGAAGGCACCGGGTTTCCGGCCTCTCCTCACAGGGCGGCTTGAAGGCGCCATCTTTCCTCTCCGCCGCCCGCTGACTCCTGTCGCCAAAAGGCCGGTACCTCCTTTCCACCAAAAAAACTGGTACCTTCTGTCCATCCCTGAGCCACCCAGCGTTGCCCTGCGCCCTGAGGCAGCTTCGCAAAGGACTCTAAAAGAGGTGAGGGGCTCATCCCTTCCGCGCGGCCCAGCTCTAGTTAACAGCTCCTGCGCCATTTTCGCCGCGGCGGCCGTGCCAAGCCGCTGGCCTGTCTCAACCGTTTCCAGAACCTCAATCGGTGAGACACGATGCAGGCGGGGAACTCGGGTGGAGAAAACAGAGGAGATGGGAAGCAACCTTCCGGAAAAGAGAAATTGCAGCTTAGTGTATCTGATTCGGCATCCGATGATTTTAAAAAAACCTGGCTAGCGCTGAAAGAGCTCCACGACAAGGAGCTCCACCGCATACAGACAAAATTAACCAGTCTGAAGAAACAGCGATTGGCAGACGGAAGGTGGACAGGCTCCACAGCCAAAATTAAAGAGTTAACTGAGCAACAGAAAGTCCTCAGTGGCACCATTCAGGAGTTGCGGGAACAATTAAACGCAAAAACATGTGACCGCTGTTCCATGAATGAAGCCTACAAGAATAAACTACAGCAGGAATTTTATGATGTCCAACAAAAAAATCTTAACTTTATTGCCCAGCTCACTGCAGAAAGGAATAAATTAAGAGAAGAAAATAAAAGGCTTTGTGCAAGCCTAAAATTGAATCAGGAACAGTTTCACCCTACTTTTTCTGATAGTGATGACTTCTTTCCTTGTACTCAAGGGACTATGTCAGTTTTTTCAGTGAGGGATCCTGTGCAAGAACCTCAGGTGCATCTGCCTATCAGAGGACTAAAGCACTCACGTACCGAACAGATGAAATCTGGAGGGAAAAAAGAACAGCAACAAAGTTCAAAGTTTTCAGTTCCATTTTATAGTCAGGAGATCTTTGAGGTGCCAGAGACTTCTTTTGAGAAGACTCCCTCTAACAGCAGTAAGTCTTCTCTAATAATCGATGCCACCCAGAAGTCCCCTGCAAGTTTTCTTTTAATGCCTAAACTTGCCTCTCAAAGGGGCTGTGAATTTCAAGGTATCGCACACCTTCCTGAAGACAAGCGTGGCCAGCCAAAAATGAAACAGCTCGCCGTACAGAAGATGTCCACACCACAGCGTGAAACTCAGCTTGACTTACCCTGGAGCCTTTCCAGTATTTCTACAGGAGAAAACCCACCTGCTCAAATAGTATCTGAAACATCACCGGAAAATATGCCTGATTCTAAGAGAAGCTTATTTCCTCCTGTTACACAGGGTAAGGAAAAGTTCCCTTTAAATATATTTCATTTGGACTATACTTTAAGATCTAGTGGGGAAAGATCAAAAGCTAGTATTGCTGGTGACAACACTGGGTGTTTGATGAGAGGTGGCAATAACCAGACGCCTTGCCCTGAACAGTCAACTTCGGGCAAGAATACTAATGAATATACAGGTGCAGAGTATGGTGCTAGTAAGCCTCCAGATGATACCCAGAGAGTCATTTCAAGATCGACCATAAAGAGAAAAGCCAGGGTGCAGTTACAAAGGAGGAGGATGTAGCTTTCTCCCTCCCTCTCTCTTAAGGAAACTTTCTTTTACAAAGAGGACAGTCTTCCTGTCAATTCAGACTGTAACTGATAACCCCAGACTTTGATTCCATTTCTCAGGATATAATAAGGCAATGAGACCTAAAAAAATTTTGGCGAATGACTAAGACTTTGAAACACTAAATTATTGCCAGTTAATAAAATACAGCCGCAAATAGAAAAGGAAACTCATTCTTCAGAATCCCTCTACTTCCATCTAAAAGCATAGAGGTCTACCATCTTTTTGTTGAAATTGTTACTACTGCTTATGAACTAATAACAGAAAGCCAAGAGAGGACCTGAAGGGCATGGACTTGTAAGACTTCAACATTTAAACAGATATAGAGTGACTAAAATAAAATACTGGACAAGACAAGGTAACTGGAGTACATCCATTGAGAAGAATCCAGAAGCAGATATTTTTCATAATAAAACGACTATGACTTTACACATACCATACAGCATGGACTTGTAAGACTTCAACATTTAAACAGATATAGAGTGACTAAAATAAAATACTGGACAAGACAAGGTAACTGGAGTACATCCATTGAGAAGAATCCAGAAGCAGATATTTTTCATAATAAAACGACTATGACTTTACACATACCATACAGCATGACTTTAAATATACAAAAGATAAAGAAGATATGTGACACAGACTGTATACTAGTTATTCAAAGCACGCTTTTAAAAATCAAAAAGCAAGAGCAAAAGAAAGAAAAACCTAATTAACAAAGACCAAATATTTAGCAAGCAAGGTCAACATTTACAAGAAGAGAAGCAACTATGAAGTTCTCAAGAAACAAAGCAGTTATGGTTTTACCCATGACATAAGAAAAGCAGCCAGGGGCCTGTCACTGGTTATCACGGTATATGGTGTGTGTGTGTATGTGTGCGTGCGTACGTGTGTACCGGAGCGGAGAACTAGTCAACAATATATCTTCCCCTCCTCTTTTCTCTCCCCCAGCTTGTCATTGGTTATCACGGTATATGGTGTGTGTGTGTGTGTGTGTGTATGCGTGCGTACGTGTGTACTGGAGTGGAGAACTAGTCACCAATATATCTTCCCCTCCTCTTTGCTCTCCCCCCTCCAATCTTTCTTTCCCTGGGCTGTGGTGGTATTCAACTACTTTCTTTCCAGCTTTTTTTTTTTTTTTGGCAGGAGAAGATTCACCCTAAGCAAACATCTGTTGCTAACCTTCCTCCTTTTTTGTTTTCCTTCCTTTTTCCACCCCAAAGCCCCAATACATAGTTGTGTATATTTGTGAGTTCTCTGGTTATTTTGTTTGAGCTGCCACCAAGCATGGCTCCTGGCAGACCAGTGGTGTGGTTCTACACCCAGGAACCAAACCCAGCCTGCTGAAGCAGAGCATGCCAAATTTGAACCACTAGGCTATCAGGGCTGGCTCTCTTTCTCTTTGTTCCTGTGTCTCTTGGGCGTTTTTTTTTAAAACAAATTTATTGAGAGAATTTATGTACCTAAAACTTACTCATTTATTAAATAGTGCACAATACAATAGTTTATAGTATATTCAAAGAGTTATAAAACCATCACCACAGTTTTAAAATATTTTCATCACCCTAGAAAGAAACCCTATACACATTAGCAGTCACTTTCCACATTCCCCTACTTTTCACCGCATAGGAAGATAAACAATGAGCTGTGGCTGTAGTTGTTAAGTGATCCATTATCTCCTGGAATGAAATATCACCAGGGTGGAAAATGATCTCCCTTTATGGGTTTCTTTCCCAAAACATGAAGGCCCATCACACAGCTTCAATATAGTCTTTGACTTTTATTCCAAATCATACATTCTTAGAACTTAAAGATTCTAGTTATTTTTTACTGTTATTAATTTACTAATGTTCTTTAGAATTTATTATTCATATTTAGCGATTGATTTCTCTTAATGTCTCTCTAGCTGGTTAACTATCAACTTATTTTATGTTTTTATATCCAGCATTATTACAAAAAAGATTTATTTTACTAAATGTTAATTGCTTTAAAACAAAAAATAGATTTTAAGTAAAATATAATAATTATGATGATTGGAACCCAGGTGCTTTTATGTTGTTCATTCTTGCATGCATTTTTTTTTGAGCAAAAATATTGAGAAAAGGAAGAAGAGGGAGGGAATTGTGTAAGTAAATGTGGTATTTGTGAATAAGATAACTTTGTGATTTTACTTCCAGAGGACATGCAGTTTATGGAAATGCTTTGGTTATGTTCTATCATATGAAGAGGAACTGTAATGCTAGTAAATAATGTAATTATACAGCAAGGGGGAGAAAAGCTTGAAAAAGAACCTGACATCATACAATACCACATAGTGCTGCAGAGACAACCGTGGCATCCTCACCCTCAGAGAACCCTTCCTGTCTTTTTGTTTGCTTCTGTTTTTCCAAATCCTGGGTCAAATAAAGGCTAAAGCATTAAATATGACTTCCGGTTATTATTTCCTTCTGTTTACATTGGTCATTTAATGCATTATATGCTCTGCATGAAAAAATGCTTCAAAAACAATTGCCTCATTTTAGAAATTAATTTCTAAATTTTTAAAAAAATTATTTCAAAGAAATGACCAAAATGAACCTATTTTAAGTTCAAATACAGGAACATTTTAAGGTCAGAGTCTTCAACGATCTGCTTCTAGTGTGTATGTGTTCTCCATAGAGGTGATGGTCAGATATTTGTTGCACGAACCTATGAACCTGTGAGGGTGGACGTCTAGTAGAGTCCATGCTTAATATGCTGGTAACTCACCTTCAGAAATCATTTTCACTATATACAGGTAGCACATCAGGAGGCTTCTGATTTCATACTGATCCAGTCGGTTATACTGGGATACACTACTCCTTGTAGAACTCTGTCGGGTCTGTAATAGAAAGACAGAAGGTTTGTGAAACAATATTGGTACTATAGTTTTCCATAGCCTTTAACTCAATAATTACTTTTATCATTAGTCCTGTTTAGAAAAATTCTAAGCTTAAATCCAAATTTTACATCACACTTGGAAGGTAAGTGGGCTCAAATCATTGCTACTGCACCGAGTAATATCACTGGAAATTACCTTGGGGTCGTCTTCAAGATACGGCCATGAATACTGTGTATGTTTCATTCCCATAGGTTCTGTGTTTTAGCAGTAAAAATTTTAAATAACTGTATGTGGCTATTCCAGGAAAAATAGCTTTTACATGGAGGAGGAATTTAAGGTACATGGAAGCATAAGAAACATTTTAAACTCTTTAATTTAAATCTCTCAGAGTTTATTAAAATCCAGCCTCCAAATAAGAGGTCAGAAAGTCTATATAAAAAAGGGCTAATAATATTACAATTACATTAAAGAGGACCCAGTAATACTTCAAAAGCAAAGCCTCTACAATATAGTGATGTTCCTATTATTTAATGATTTTTGTTAAAATATCAGTTGTTAAGCAGGACAAGATCTGACTTATTTGGGAATTTATATGAATAGAGTAATAATAATCTCCTAAAGAATTTACCCTTGTTAAAAACCAGTACTTTCAGTTGAGCTAAACTGGCTGGAGATATACATTATATATGATTTACTAAGAATGAACTTTCACTTGGAGCAAAACATCTAGGTTCTGAATGCTTGTTAGCTGTGTGACTACTAACAAGTCATTCAGCCTCTTTGTCCTTTATTTGCTTTACCTGTGACAGTGTCTGTTGTCATAATTCTAAATGGTGTGAAACAGGACCCTCTGTGGATAAATTACTATTTACGCAAAGGCTCAAGGTATAAGTATAGTCCACTGCTTCTCAAGGGAGTGTTCCCACCCAGCAGCATCAGCACCACCTGGGAACTTAGAAATCTAAATTAGCAGGCCCCGTCCCAGACGGACTGAATCAGAAACTCCAGGGGTGAGGCTCAGCCACCTCTTTTTATTAAGACCCGCAGGTGATTCTGATGCACACTGAGAGCACCATGATTTAAGGAGGGAAAGTGCCGGAATTAGGAAGCCTGGGTTCAGGTCTGGGCCTGCCATAGCTGTGTTGTTGTCCTAAGTCCCAATTCCAGTTTTCATTTGTAAATTGAGAGTTAGAATTTATTATTTTTATAGACCTTCTAGCTCTAATTTTATATGATTCTATGATTTTACATAGCAGCGTAACAAGGCTTTACTGCTCTAAAATGAGGTTTCTCTGTCTGAAGGCAGACATATCCCAAATTTTAGGGTTAGGTTTGAAACAATTTGATTGAAGAATTAGAGAATATACTCCTAATAAGTGATGCTAGGATGCTGAGATATCAATCTGGGGACCTAGATATTTTTTTCTCCCATGTTAATGTCATTACTCTATTACAAAAGAATGAAAGGCTGAATCGATCCTGCCAGAAGTGATTTAAGTGACAAGGTACATGAGACATTTTAAACTTGAACCTTCCCTCTCTAGAACAGGTTACAGTGTGCTAAGGTTAAAAGAGGTATTCAAAGTTAGAACTCTTCAAGATGAATGCCTTATCCTCTACAAACAGTTTCAGATATCCAAGTAGCAGCTGCCAGGATAGGAAGGAACTGCTACAACATCGAAGAATTATGGGATGCTTCTTACAGATCCAGGATGGACTACAGGAGAGTAGAAAGCTGCTTATTTATATAAAGAGACAGATTGTTGTAGCCTAACACAGCATGACGGTTATCCTCTATATTTAGGTTCTTACATTTTCACCAGTGCTGCCCTGATCTGGAAATCCTATTACTCCTTCTGGGATGAGGGAACCTCTGGAATCTTCCCTCTTAATTCCATGTCCATTTTGAAAAGACCCATAAGCTAGAAAAAAGCCAAGTGCTTGTTAGCAACAGGAGGAACTGTCAAAAATATTTTTAACAACAAGTAGGTTAACTTAAGTAAAGATATATTTTAGGGAATAGAGCTTGCTCACCTAAAGTGTGAAGTTTATATATTGTATCAAAATGCCATAAGAAGCCAAATAAAGGGTAAGCAATTGTCTGCTTCTCGAAAACTTTACTATGTATGAAACTACAAGAAACTAAGCCACACAATTTGAGAGTTAATTTTATAGATAAGGATACTTGGGTCCAGAAAAGGAAAGTGTCTTGTCCAAGATTGGAGACAGATAAGAGGATTGGAAACCAGTGTTTTTCTCATTATCATCTATTTTCTCAGTATACCAAGCTACATTTTAAACAAGCTTAGACAAGGACACCTAAGCAAAGAAATGTGGCTGCAAGTATGAGTCAGATTTTAATTAAACTTTAGTAGAGGTCAGGCTACATATAGTTTTTATTATGAAATATTTCAAAAATACCAAGAAGTACAGGGTACATTTCTAAACAGCCATGTAACACAGAATCTTTAAAAGACTTAATTACCGGTGTCTTTGTCAGTGCTCAGACTCCCTCTGTTTGTAGGTGAAGTGAAGCCACATGCAAACTCATCCCTGGATGCCTGTAACACAATGTGATATCTCTGTCATTTAACCAAATTTGTACACGAGGATAAGAAGTCGGAATTGACAGAATGAGATGTACACTGATTTGGAACAAAGCTCACTGTGAAAGTCTCAATCAGCTATCAGTATTGGTATTCAGGTGACATCTCTTCAAAAAATCGGGACTAGCATACAGTTGTAACCATGACCTCTGGCCAAATGACATAACTCTAGATGGCCGACAAAAGCTGCAGCTGGTGCAGTCTAAACATGGTTCAGTTCTCCTCCTTGGAACCAGGGGCAATGCTAGAAGGAGGGGTGTGACCAGAAGCCCTAGGTGAACCTGAGCTGCAAAAGAAAGAACAGACAACTGAAACATTTCCAAATACCGCTGTCAAGTGCAGAGTGAGCATAAGCATGAGCTCCTGTGTTTGTGAGGAAAGACCAGCCTGACAGCCAGATAGGCGATGCAGCATCCACACTGAACTGGTCCACAGGATCATGATTGGGAGCTCCAGGCAATCGAACCATCAGGGAGACGTAGAAACAGCTTACTCAGGAACCCAGGGCAGGGCAGGCTTGACAAATCAACTGGGACATTTGATAGGGGGAATTTCCAAAGGAAGCCAGAAAGGACACAGCTTAACCTGCCCCCCAACAATGTGACACAGCTACTGCAAGTGTGAAGGTGATCTTGGTCCATAAAGAACATGGGGTGTGGGTGGGGTGGGAGTTCATAGTTCCACTGGGCAGACTATAAAGTATACAGTTCTGAGCACCACATTTTAATAGGGTCACTGGTAAAATGGAGCATATTCAGAAGAGTGTAACCAAGAACGCAGGTCAAGGGTTTGGAATGACAAATGAGAAAGTGGAGAAATCTGGCTTGGAGAAAAATTTAGAAGGCACATACGGAAGGGGTAACATGTGGAGGTGGGAACAGATGTGCTCTAGGTATCTCTTGAAGGCAAAACCAGGATAAGTGGATAGAAAACCTTTTGGGTCAAATGTGAGAAGGAAAGTTTTAATCACACAATGGCAAAAGGTTGTTTTGCCAAATGGGAGACTAAGCACCTTCAAAGTTCCTTTCAACTCTAAGATTCTAAGGGGAGAAAAAAAGCACAGATCAATTGTGATGAGCTAAAAGTGACTCACCAAGAAGCGGTGAAAGGAGGCTGCCAAGGGACGGGAGAAGCAAAGGAATACAGCTTAATCCCCGGTGCCTAGCCTTCTGGAAGTCAAGACTCTTTTGTTCAGTTTCACGTTGAATAAATATATGAAGGCACAGAACAACTGCAAAGCTTAAAAATCAAACACTGGGTACAAGGGAGTCCGGGTGTTCTCTCTGACCCAGTTACTCAAAGTCTGGTCCTTGGACCAGAAGCAGCCAAAAGCTTATTAGAAACACAGAATTTCAAGCTCCACTCCAGGCCTACTGCTTAGAATCTGCGTTGTGACAAATCCCTGAGGTGATTCATGTGCACATTACAGATCGAGAAGTACTGCTCTAGGAAAAGCGTAAATGGAAAAATGGAGTCGAAAGTGAACTATTAAGATTGAGACCAGATAGTATATGACCCCAATTCCAAAGATATTCAATAAAACAAGATAAAACACCAACAGAAACACATTACTACTTACAGAATTCGGCATGGCTGCACAAGAATACAAGGTGTCGCGACCTGCTAATCGCTGTATATTTTCCAAAAGCAGTCCAACAAATGGGAGGTATAATTGTGCTATTTTGGCTTGCTGGTTCTGAAAAATAATCATCAAAAGCTTAATTGGTATATAATACTTATGTATTACAAATAAAGTTGGCTCCATGTATCACTTTAAAGACTAAAAGCAGGCTAACATCCATAGCAAATTAGTGAAGCATGAGTCTATTTACATTTATAGTCTCAAAACTAATAACCAGGGAAGTGTGTTGGTATTTGGATTTATACACGATATAGAGACAAATCATATCCCTCAAACATAACTACCTAAAATAAAAGGCAAAAGTTTATTTTTTT